GCACTTGCCAGGGAAGCGCTTATTCCACTGAGCCATCTCGCCAGCCCTTGTGTTATGATTCTTACAAGAAGCTCTGCCATAAAACCCAGATGGTCCCTTGTCCCAGCCACAGATGTCATCCACGTGTTGGGTGCGTTGACCCGAGGAGCAGAGCTGCTTGTACCATGATTTTAACATAATATTTACAGAGCCTTCTTTCAATTCTTGTTTTGGTGAGGGGATACTGGGAGTCAAACTCACCACTTCCCACTTGCCAGGCAGGCACTGTGTTGCTAACCTACATCCCTGGCCTCTCCTTTCAAGTCTGAGCCACAAGGAAAGCTTGCTTATGTCACTTTATATGTGGGTCAGAACAACATTCCCAAGTGTGGAATATGTTGTCACCAGGACCTTTCCGGCATTATGCTTTCTTCTTGGTGATAGTGAGTACAAGATGTAATAATTTCTCTCACTTTGGAGGGACTGTCCTGGCATGCCTGGATAGAACTCCTGGAGTAGAACTCCTGGATAGAACTCTTATGTGCTTTGTAAGTTTTATCATCAACTGTTGCTGCACATATCTTACCAAAAGTTCCATTGCACTTGCATTTCTTGTTCACGCAGCCTAACATAGTATGATAGTAGTAGATAACTCCTCGGATCTTGTGAATGACCAGATCACAGTTCTTTTATGCTGTATTGAAAGAGCAAAAGAGTTAACATGGCCTTAGGAAAGACTGTAAAAGTATACTACCCCCACTTCACCTGAGTGGGAGCTGGTTTTAGCTTGTGGAAAGACAGAAAGGAATGCATTTGCCAGCTGAGCATGGTGATACATGCTTGTAATCCCAGCACTTGGGAGGCTGAGGCAAAAAGATTGCCATGAGTTTGATGCCAGCCTGGGCCACATTGTGAGTTCAAGGCCAGCCTGAACTACATAGTATGACTCTGTCACAAAAAACAAAACAAAAATCACTGGCCAAATCAGTGGTCACATTCCTTATACCAGAGACCAATGTAATCTGTTCTAGGAAGATATTAGTTCTGGCACAGGGGCTACTTGATTGAAGTCTACTGTTACCGTTCAGAATCCATCTGGTTTTGTCCAAGTCATACTGATGAATGAAATGAGGGTTTATGAGGTTCTAGCCACGTACATCTTTTAAGTCTTTGTTTACCATCTTGACTGGGTAGAAATGAATACTTTTGGAAGCTTCTGCTTGACTTACCTCATAACCCAAAAAACTGATTTGGAGTTCTGCCAACTACTGAGTGTGTGCATTCTAATTATACACTTGGGAACGGAAAGTGATCAGTGGCTGGATCCATGGATCCAGTAGGTGCACTGTGGGCTGGATCTGGGACAAAATTCCATTTATTATCTGGTCCCCATGTGCCCTATGACATAACGATGCTTCAGGTTACCAGATATCAGGATAATCATAGTTCTTAGACACCTTAAACCCTGTATCCAGCAATCCTTAAAGCCCTTGAGTATTCCTTTTCCCCTGTCTAATTTATTGAGTGGGTAGCCATGGGCCCCATGATGAAAAACTGGGTGAACTGTTGCCATGGGCACTTGCCTGTGGTGTTATCTCCATAGAGATCCAGCCTCTTCTTCAACCAATGTATGGAAAATGAGGCAGAGTTTGATTTCTCATGGGGCATGGCCCTCGGCTTCTTTTGCACCTTTGTTTTGATAGTTTAAGCTGTCCATTGACATGCCTGTCTTGCTCCTGGAACACTGTGTTTTCTAAGTGGTTCTATATCTGTAGCTCCACAGTTCCTCTTCAGCCCTGCTGTCACCTTTGGTCCAGTCCTGTCTTAGGTTGCGTTCCTAGGAAACAAACTACACAGTGGAGGCTTGCTTGCTGGAAGGTTGTTGGGGGAGCTTTCTGAGGAATTACCACAAATGAGGGGCTAAGGATAGCCTAATGGGGCAGGTAGAGGGCCCCAAATGGACTCAGTTACACAGTGCTCAGCCAGTGTCACAGCGGGCTCAAAAGCTGGGCTGGTTCTTCAGCACCATCTGTGTTCAGTTGAGAAGGTTGGATTTTTGTACCTCTCAAGTAGGTACTGGAGCAAGCTGTCCCTGAGGAAGCGCAGGTGGCAGCAGGTAAAGTGGCTCCTCTGGGACATATTCAGTCATTAGCCACCCACAGGCAGCATTCCTGGCCTTGGCTGGGGAATGAGCCTATCAGGGCTGAAGGCTGATGGGGCTGTGTTCCTCCATGCCCACTGTGGCTGCCCGCTGAAGCAGCTAAGAAATTACTTCCTAGGCCCTTCTCCAAATTCTTGTGTGGAAGTACCTAGTCTCTTAAAAACTAGTGCCAAGGGCTGGGGAGATAACTCAGTAGAATAAGCACTTGCCTAGCAAGCGCAAGGTCCTGAGTTCAATCCCTGGTACCACAAAAAAGAAAGAAAACTAAAAACTAGTGCCAAAATCTAGATAAGGCCTGTTTGATTTTAATTTGAGATTACTTTGTTATAACAAGACAGAAAGGAGGTCCTTGAAACAGAAAACATTACTCATAAGGAACACACATTGTGTGCTTACTTTTCGGGAAAATTGCAGGGAACTTGAAGACAAGAAAAAGATTCAGAATCTCCTGGCTCTTGTGGGAACAGACACCAGAGAAGTGACCTACTTTTATAAGGAGCCTCCCAATAAGGTAAGTGAGCTTCATGAAGCACGGTGAGTAATGAGTGTGGCTGCTGTAGAGATGACAATAACTGTGGTCCCTTGGAGGAGTCACATGGAGAGTAGTGTGCTACCACAGCCCTATACTTCCCTGTTTTCTTTTCTTTATTAGTATTATTTTTAAATGTATTTGGTTGTTACAGGGTCTCACTGTGTATCTTGGATTCATAGTGATCTGTAGGGAGCCCTTTTTCGTCCTTTTTTTTGGTCCTTATATTGGTTCAGGAAGCTTATATATTTGTAATCCTATGGATAAGTTATTGGAATCCCATAGAGTTAATTCCAATCTACCACTTCCAGTCCAACCCATGACGAAAATAAAGATATTAAGGCATATTTATAGTTATGGAGAGCCAAGGGGTCTTAAGTCCAGCCATGGTGACGGCTATCTGGAACAAAGGTCTCTATCCAGGGCTGAACCCAGGTTTTACTCAGTCATGAAGGAGGAGTGGCTTAAGGATTAATGACAGAATTATAGGAAGTAGGTGAGTACTGTGAGCTGGGCTAGGTAGGAGGCCTGCATTTACCTCTGCAGTATGCAGAGGGGGATATGCAGAAAAACTAATTTGCATTATATTGTTGAGGTAGTATCTAATGTTTTGAGGTCCAGTGCTTCAGCTCTGATGTATAATCTTTCAAGCCCAGGAAGTCAGCCTCTATCTCAAGGCTCGATCCCAGCTGACAGCATTGGCCCTCATCCTGTCATGACCCAGCTCATATTAAAGCAGGTGGGGGTAATCACGGAAAACAAGCACGCCCTCTGCAAAGACTACCACCAGCGCCTCAGCTAGACCAGTGTGCACTGCTTACGGCCAATTGAAGGGATAAGGAAAAGTCCTAGCCAGCTCTGTACCTATCAAGACGTGGAAATAGAGTCAGGCACAGCCAAATGGAGACAACAGCTCTTCTTTCAAGGAGAGTTGCCCAGGTGGTCCTCCACAGTGATCCTCCTGTTTTCAGCCTCCCCAGCGCTAGGATCACAGGCTTACACCACTACACTTGGACTCGGTGGTTGGCTCAGCCCACCCTGGGGGCGAGCCTGGTGTGGCATGTGACTTCAAAACTTTTTTCCTTTAAAACCTTAAGAAAACAGTGTAATTGGGCCAGGGAAATAGCTCAGTGGTCTAAGTGGCTGCTTGGCAAGCATAAGGACACATGCTGTGCTGGCCCACGCTCAGCGGGCCATCGAAACCAGGCCTGGTGGTGCACTCCTGTAATCCCAGCACTGGGGAGGCTGAGGCAGGAGGATCACTATGAGTTTGAGCTTCAGGGAAACCCTGTACCAGATAATTAAGTAAAAGATTTTTAAGAAATAGTTTTTTTAAAAAAAGAAAACAAAATAATGTTGTTTACTCCATTTCACCATTTCAAACTCTAAAGCTCACTATTGGGGGTATAGCTCAGTGGTGGAACTGTTGCCTAAGTGTTCATGAGGTACTGAGTTCCAAACCCAGCACTGCCATAAACAAAAGGGAAAAATCTAAAGCCTGGAGGAGGAGGTTTTAGCTGAGATTACAGAGGAAAGCAGGAGTAGACTATAGAGAGAAAGTTTTAGTATTTAAGTTTCTCTTAAGCTTTGTGTTAAAAAAAGAAAAAAAAAACTTTGTGTATATTGATTACAAATATAGTACATAGCCTTTATTTTAAACAAACACAACTGGGTATAATCCAAACACTTGGGAGGCTGAGGCAAGAAGGATCACTAAAAGTTCCAGGTCAACTTGAACTACATGGTGAAACCCTGTCTCAAAAAAAAAAAAAATTAAACACAGAAAACCTCACTGAGGGACCATTCTCAGCCACTCCGGAGGCTCATTTGAGACCAGGGGTTTGACTCCAGTCTGGGCAGTGTAGCAAGACCCTGTCTCAACATCAAAACAAAAAACCACACAGAAACTGGGCACAGTGGTACATGCCTAGAATCCCAGCACTGTGGAGGCTGAAACAGGAGAATCGTGAGTCCGAGACCAGCCTGGGCTGCAAAGTGAGCCCAAGGCCAGCCTGAACTGCACAGCAAGACCTGTCTCAAAAAGACAAAGAAGAAAAACAATACACAAGGGGGCCAGGGAGATGGCTTGGTGAAATAAGCACTTGCCTGGCAAGCACAAGGGCCTGAGTTCAATCCCCAGTTTCGCAAAAAAAAAAAAAAAAAGAAAGAAAAGAAAAACAATACACAGTACAGAAATCTATCATATAAAAGTGGCAGTTTCTTCTAATCCTTTATCCTAGACATAAACATTTAGTTTAACATATGTATTTCTAGCCCTTTTCCATTCATATAGAAATACTTGTCTGTGTGTGTGTGTGTGTGTGTGTGTGTGTGCATTTACATGCTGTTTCCATGTTTGCCCTTTAGCAGTAATTTAATTTCTCAACAGACTTTCTTTTTGGGATTAGAGATTATACCTAGAGCCCTAATAGTCTTTCTTTCTTTCTTCTCCCACCCCCCCGCCCTCTTTTTTTTTTTTTTTTTTTTTTTTTTTTCTTTTGGTACTGGAGATCAAACTCAGGACCTTGCCAGGCAGATATTTATGTTGCTGAGCTGTCTCCCTAGCTCTTTTTCTTTTTCTTTTTCTCTTTTTCTTTCTTTCTTTTTTTCAGCACTGGGATTATAGGCATGCACCACCGTACCTGGCTTAATAGCTTCTTTTGGTGCTAGGAATCAAACTTAGGACCTCGCACTTGCCAGGCAGGCACTTGTGCTGTTGAGCTACATCTCCAGCCTTAATGGCATTTTTATTCATCTCTACATACACATATTTCTGTGCTTCTAGTACTTTCCTATAAGTGTTTTTGATTTTGGTAGTGCTGGTGGTGGTACCATGGCATCAAACTAAGGACCGTGCACTAGCCAGGCAGGTGCTGCTGTAAAAGTGGTTTAAGTATTTTTTGCTAAGTAGTCCTATGATTTTTATTTTTTTTTTAATTTTGTTTTAATTTTTTATTATTATTATTATTTATTTATTTTGTGTGTGTGTGGCCAGCTCAGCCCACCAGGGGGCGGGGCTGGCTGGCATGTGGTGCTGGGGGATTG